CAAGAAATGTAAAGAATTAGAATCTAAAAACCGAAGAGAAACAAATCTGATCTCAAATTTCTTTTCACCCTTTGGTGGCTTGAGGTTTGTGCTGGTCTTGGACAACATTCTCGTCTTGACACAGCAACTTTCTCCTCTTGAGACCATAGCCATTGTACTGATAGATTATGCTGTATAGACATTGCTTCAATCTGAGCACATCGAAATCCTCTATGAACTTTAAATCTCTTTGCCTCCATTTCAATCCCGCGCACTTCTGGTATTCCTCGAGAACCGATGATAGGCACCAGTTTTGAACTTTCCTCAAGCATCCCACAAGACAACCTGTCCTGTGCTGCAATTAGCCAACATATACAAACACCATTTCAAACTCACAATCTGTAACTCAACCCAAGCTTGTTAAACCAAATCGAGCAAGGAGGTTTTGGTTAGTGTACCTTCCCGCGCTTACAGTGGATGAGAATTGGATGATTTCTAACATCTGTAAGCAAACAAACAGGAGGACTAATGAGACAACTAAAAGAGAAGCTAATAAGACATCAAGGGGCCTCTCTTTGATATCCTTACCAACTAAGACTCTAAGAGCATTCAACACTGTATCCTTTGGCATAGGAGTCGGAGGATCCTAAACAATCCAAACTCAGAAATCAAAGGCATGACCATGACTCGAAAACACAAACAAGAAAGGGGATTTATATGTTCTTCAAGCTCTTATGCGATTCATTAATTCAATTGCTGTTGTTGATTATGCAAATCAAGGGCATATCATTGATTCAAATAGGCTTATAAGCCAACAACAGACTAAGACAAGAACAAGTAGATGGGTTTCATATGTTCTTGAAGAACTCAAAAGATTCATTCATTTTTCAATGGCTGTTTGAATAATCATCATCAAAATAAGGTTAAAAGAAACAGTAGAGAGTAGAGACCATACCGTTTTGCCTTGGATTCCGAACTGGAAAAGCTTAATGTTGTTGGATTCAAGAGACTTGAGATTGTCCTCAGGGTATGGTTCAGGACACAGATAACTGTGTCCATAAAACCCAACAAAGAAAACTTGTTTTTTTTTTTTTTTGTAATCAAATCATTCTGCGAGTCATTTTCAACGTCAAAATTTATTATCCAATTAATAAACATAATTAAAAGCCATGAGAGTGAAATTAATAGTTTAGGAAATATAAACAACGAAAACGATGCGTGATTAAAGATTCTCTTTTTAATTAATTCCTTCCTCAGGAGATTCATCAGAATCAATGAATTAAGTAACAGAGAAAGAGAATCTTACATGATGGATCGAAGATTTAGGGTTGATAAGAAACGGAAATTCTCAAGCTGAGGAAACCTAGATCGGTAAATCCCGTCTTCGACCATCGAGAAATTCGGCGGCGGAATCAGAAGTTCGCCGTCGTTATCATCATCCACGATTAAACCCATTCAATGTTTCTGAATCGAATCAAAACAATGTTCCTCTCTCTCTCCGTCTCTCGATTGAGAGACAGAGAACACGAGACAGAAGGGGAGAGAGAGCAAACCCCCCCCCCCCCCCCAAAATCTAGAGAGAGAGAGATCGATAATTTGATTAAACAAATTAAAAAAAAGCCAATTTTGATTAAACAAATTAAAAAAAAGCCAATTCTTTTTTGTTTTTAATGGGATAAACGTCAAGTGGATCTTGAAAAAGAGACAAAGATCCCTTGAACATTGGGACGACGAAGATTTAGGAGTGTATGGTAGAGATTTCTTCGGATTTGAGAAGAAACAAATTTAGGTTGTTCTTGACTTCTTTGTTGGATTCACTGAGGTTCTTGGATTTGGTTTTTTAGTTAAAGAATGTTGTATCTGTAGCCTACCAGAATATGACACGTGTTAAATTCTTCGCTTTTCATTGGTCCTTGTTAACTGATTGGAAAATTCCTATGAATCTTTTCGAATAAGAGTCAATTTTTTTAGAATTTTCTATTATTAATTAATTCTTTCTACGTAACATCGAAAATTCGTTACGGTCCAAGTCACTGATTTTATTTTTATTTTTA